CTGTCTTGTTTGCGTATTACTTTCTACTTTTCTGCAGAATAAGTTTAACGGTTTTATACCAATTCGAATGTTTCAATAAAATCTGTTGCCATCAAGTTTTCTCCATTTTCCAGAATGAAAAACTTTTATTTTTTAACTATCCTGTTCAATTTCATGGGAAGTACAACCTCGCCTTCGAAGTTAATTTCCTTTTAGTTACCGTTCCGAAACGCATTTGTTGACTTCATTGTTGTAGGCCTTTTTTAAAATTTTCCATGTTTTTCAGTTCATTATTGTTAAATCTGAACCCGAATCGAGTTGAAATTTGATATACTTTTTAAATATTTCAGTCGTCATATTTCCTCAAATCTCTATCTGATTTGATATTTGAATTTGTTCGTCTAATTCAGCTATTGACTTTTTTCGTTTTACAACACGATCCTTTGTGTCCATTTTGTGGCACACGAAATTTTCTATTTCTATATGGGCAATTTACCTCCCAGTGTCTTTTCGTTGCAACGTCTACAATTATATGGTGGAACCTTTTTTCCCTCGTTCTTTTCATTTAATTTTTCTTGTCTATTTTTTAAAATACGCCGAATTTTTGCTCCAATTTTTTTGCTGATGGGGTAATTTGACTGTTTTTTTATTTTTTAATATAAGCAATGCCAGCTTCTTCGATTTTTTAAGACTCTTTCTTTGAACTTACGGCCCGCTGACACTCCTCTGCTAACTTTTTAGGGTAAGGTTTTGTTCAGATTCGAGTTTAGCCAAAACTCTACGTCTTATTTCGGCACTCTTACTGGATACCAGTCCTTGAGTAAAAAATTAAACACTTGAATTCTTCAACCGTAATCTCTGCCAATCTGAAATTGTCTAATGTTCATTCACTATAGATGCATATGTTAAGTAATCCTGATCGTCGGATTTAGCTACATTCATGCATAACCATCGCTTATGCCAAAGCGACATATTTGCTCCAAACAACTCCTTTCTTTGAATTTCACTGTTTCCGAGAATTCCAATTCATTCGTTCTTCTCAGTAGAATAAAATCTACAATTTGCTTGTTCTGCTGTACCTAGCTTTCTTAGTGATTGACTGACTTTTCTTAGATTCGACCAATTTTCACAGTCTGTGTGAAAAATATCTTCATATCGTTTAAAAGTACGCTTCAAACGTTTTTTTCTTCGGTTGGCCCATAGTTGAAAGTTTCCAGCGAATTAAATATGATATTAGAATATGAAGAATTTCCTTCATTTGCTTGATTGTTGTTTAATTTCTCCAGTGTTAACTTTTTGAATTCCTAAAACCTTTGATCTGCATTTCTTCCTGTTTTCCCCAGTCTTTCCTCTTGCTTTCTTTGATATTTTGCTGTCTTTCCTCTTGCTTTTCTTGATATTTTTTGCTGTCTTTCCTCTTGCTTTTCTTGATATTTTTGTTGTCTTTCCTCTTGCTTTTCTTGATATTTTGCTGTCTTTTCCTTTTGCTTTTCTTGATATTTTTGTTGTCTTTCCTTTTTGCTTTTCTTGATATTTTGCTGTCTTTCCTCTTGCTTTTCTTGATATTTTGCTGTCTTTCCTTTTTTGCTTTTCTTGATATTTTTGCTGTCTTTCCTTTTGCTTTTCTTGATATTTTGCTGTCTTTTCCTTTTGCTTTTCTTGATATTTTTTTGCTGTCTTTCCTCTTTGCTTTTCTTGATATTTTTTTGTGCTATCTGTTGTTCCCTATTAATAAGGCAAACTGTTCACTTTGACGTTGCTGACTCAACTGCTGGGATTTGAATAATTCAGATATGACTTTGGATAATTCGTCCATCTTTTGCTAATAATAGTGTTCATGCAACAAAGGGGATATTTTTTAATTTGTGTGTACCCACAGATATAATATAATCTGATCAGAAAAATCGAACAACTTACGACTTTTTTTATTTTTTATGCCTTGCTTTATAAAATATTGTTGAGCAACCAAAAAAAATTTTGTTTTTTTAAAGTTCGTTACCATTCAAAAGTCGACACGGTGTTTTTGCGCCATTTAAATCATGTCTTCCATGTAGTCGGCCCGTTTTTTTTTTTTTTGTTTTTTTAAATCACCGTTATTCGTTTACGACACCTTTCAAATATTTCTGAGTGAACGTTCCTTTATGCTTAGTCGTCCTTTAACGAGTTCTAAATATCCAGAAATTCAGAATCCTTCGCCGTTCCATTAATATTTTTTTCCTTCAGCCTGGCTTCTTCAATGTTGAAGGCTATCAATTATCAATTCTTTTTTTTTTTCGTATAGTTCTTTCTACCTCGTCGCCATTGTTGAAACTTGACTAATGCATGGAATAATAATGCAACACATAATGTACTTAGAACAAACTGATTGAAACAAGAAAGTGTACACAATATTTACATATAGTCTTTTGTTATTCCTGGTAAGACCGTTCCTGGAGAATGTATTGACTGAGTCGCAGTCAGGCAGAGTCTCTGGTTGAATCTCTTGATTCCTCCCTCTCTTCCCGGTACCAACCATAACATATATGGTCGGCTCCACTTTTGGATCCTACCACAACAATAGTAAATACATTTTTTTACCTTTTTCGGGGTTTAATAACCTTATATATATATATATATATATATATATATATATATATATATATAATATAAAATATATATATATATATATATATATATATATATATATATATGTAAAGTTATTACACCAAAAAGGTAAAAATCCTCCCATTTGCAGTCGTGTTTCAATGCGTATCAAAATTTGTGGGCTTTTACTCTGATTAACCAATCAAATATGACCTACGTTAAGTTTAAACTAAGAGAATGAGAAAATGTTCTTTAATTATTTTTATAAATGTGTCATTGCAATTACTAACGGCAATCAGACATAGACTAAAGGGATACAAATTCTTAAATAAATTATACAAACCAGACAATGCAGTTTCTAAGAAATAAAAATGTGTAGAGAAGTAATTTAATGAAATGCTAAACAAGTTATATGTAACTGTGTGAATATTTTACATGTTTTCGGTATAATATCCTAGATATATAATACTGCTCTACTCTACTGAGCCCTCTTTTTAAATTAAATGGTACGAACGTTGAATTGTACATTATTTGTTTCATCATATCTGTATACATGCTCCTGAAAAATTATTTCGGTTGAGATCTCGGTGGGGAAAGTGCGAGTATGTAAAAAAGAGTGACTACTACTGCTACTAATGCAATACTCTTCGATGAAACGAATCAAGTACTCTCAGATGTTTATAAAAATAAATACGATCAAATTCACCTTCTGTCCCGCTCCAATGTGCCAACGGGTCAAATGTAGATTCTTCGACTGGCACCAATTTAGGGGTTTCCATCCTAGCTAGAAACAACTGACGTCTAGCAACACTGACATGCTATGATGCAGCGAAACAGCCTGTCAATGGATGAGAGATATTTTTATATATATAGTTAATAAATATATCCATCTCTCATCTCTCTCTCTCTCTCTATATATATATATATATATATATATATATATATATATATGTGTGTGTGTGTGTGTGTGTGTGCATGCATTAAATTTTATAAGTATATATATATATATATATATTTGTATTTTATTATTTATTTTTATTTATAAGTATATATATATATATATGATTATGTATTAATATATATATTTTATAAATATATATTTATATATATATTATGTATTTTATATATATATGTATATATATATATATACATATTTTATATTTATATATGTACTTTTTATATGTATATTTATATATATAGTTATTTTATATATATATTTTATGTATATGTATTTCTATATATTTATATATATATATTTTACATATATATTTATATATATATATGTATTTTATATGTATATATTTTATATATATATTTATATATATATTTATACATATGTATGTGTATATATATTCATATGTATATATGTGTATTTTAGATATATATTCATATATATATATATATTATATTATTTATTTTAAATACCTATATAAGTATTCTATATATATGTAATATATATATACATTTTATACACACACAAACACACACACACACACACACACACACACACACACACACATATATATATATATATATATATATATATATATATATATATATATATATATATATATTTATTGTTACAGATATAACTTTCTAGGTATACTATATTTATGCGTAAATTATGAGGGATAAACCGTATGTAAATATATAAATGCACCCTGGTTTCAGCACCATGGTACACTCTCATTTATTCCTCAACGTAATCATCAGGCCATTTGTTTTATTTTTTGGACACAGCTTTTTTTATATGCTTATATTAATTTATATATACATTTATAGATCATATTCTTATATAAATTGTCGTTTAGTTCTGAATAGTGATGATGTCCTCAGCGAAAGAAAGCTGCACCTGAATTCCCGATAATCTCTATATTCAAATCAGATTCGTTAGATTAATCTTTTATTTCGCTGCAAATGCGCGATACAAATAAACCCCTAGTCATTCCAAAGCCACCTGGATCTTTAATTAGTTATCCGTAAAATGCGATAGTAACGACTATTTCAAAAGCTTCAACGATCAATTCTTTTATTTCATGTTGAAAAGAAAATGTCATCCAAATTTTCTCGGTTATATGTGTAATCTTTCAGCTGTTGATTGATCGGTGATTATATTTGAAATGCACAAGGTTGATAGTCATTCCACTGAGCTTCGCTTAAAAGATAATTTATCTGAGACTGGCCGCTGAAAGTCGAAGCAACAGAAAATCGACACTACCCGTGATAAACACAACAATGTCTTTATTTAAACTACCCGCTTGTTCCCAGCATTCCATAGTGGGACCGGAAGTCCTTAAAATTCAACATCATTATTATCATCACCATAATCAACATTTTTGATGCTGTTATAACACCCCCGTTCCTATTGCAATTTATTTCCTTTATTAATTTATTTCCAACTTTTCCTATGTTTCCTTGTGTCAGTGAGATGATTCTACATGATTCTTATAATCCGCTCCCGTAAGGCTCTCTGCTTGCACTTTTTCTTCCTCTTCTACACTGACTCATCTGTCTTTGTTTTTTTCTGTCTCATGATCCTAAACGTATGAGGACGTGAATGAGTTAGACATGACTTACTAGATACGTTATATGAGACTGATTGCTGAAAAGTTGAAGCAGACCAAAGCCGACTCGACACGAGGTAAACTTAATAAATTTATTATTTAAATCCGTCTTGGCTCCCAGCCTTCCTTAGTGGAAACGGAAGCGCTTACAATGATCATAATAATCATCATTATTGATATTGTTATAACAAAAGCAAACCAACAAATGATTTAACAATTAAAAAATATATGCAAGCACATTTAAATCCACACAGTCATATATATATATATATATATATATATATATATATATATATATATATATATATATATATATTCCATTTGAAGTAATTATATATATATATATATATATATATATATATATATTTGATATATATATATATATATATATATAAAATATTGAAATAATAAAAATATTCAAATCTTCAGACACACTGGGTTTGTGGATTGATATTCTTTCGTTTTTTTTATTATTTTTCATTTAGATTCCTCGACTAGTTTCGGTCAAATGGCCATCATCAGGAGAATAAATATTTCTGCTTTGCTGGTAGCAGTGAACTACAGAAAAAAATATATATATATATAATATAAACACAACACAGCGATATCGTTGGAGAATGTCTTCACATGCATTGGTTGCAATCGAGACTGTGCAGCTATAACAGATGCTGCTCCGTCATTGACCACAAACTCTCAATTGCATTTAAATCAGGAGAGTTTCCGGTACACTCTATAGCACTTTGATTTGTTCACTGGTAAGGCTTGTCTGTGTCTTCGTGCAGCGTTACAGTTTTCGTTCGTTTCCTTGGTGTAACGTCCATCGCAGACAATGGCCGTAGGACAACTAATCGACACTCGAAATAATGGTGTGTGGGTGTGATAAAACTCTGACGCAATCACAGATGACACAATATTCAAGGCCAAACAAATGTCATCATACACCCCAAAAATAGATCCATATTACTGCACACCACTGCAAATGACCTGGAAAAAATAGAAATTGTTTAAATCCTGCCACTCCAGTCAGTCTTAAACTGACCGTATGGTGAAAGAAAGGAAACTAATTCAATTAATTTGCACAAGCGTGTATAAACATACATGGGGAGTGATGTGACAGACATAAAGATATGATATGGCGAAAGTGCGGATAGGTTTTGGAAATAGCGACAAATGCTCAAAGAGAAAATTTTATAGATTCCAAACGAAAGCACTATTGGCTCCTCAGTCAATGGATGCCAAGTGTTTTCTTATAGGGAAACAGCTAATATCTTATTATTGTCAATTAGTATCGTATGAATAAAGAAGATTTCAGATGCTGGGAAGTATATAATCTACTAATATATCCTTTAACTCGAGTATGCATGCAACAGAAATAAACATCTGCTGAATTGTGTATACTCCCAGCATCGGTTTTCTTTCTTCCGGACGTGGATGCTCATAGCTTTTCACAATGTTCTGTCCTTTGTAGCTCTTAGAAAATTCTATATTTTGCTTTCTCTTCAAATAACCATTCTGCCAATCATCTGCACAAGTAAGCGCATTAAGAAGGAAATTGGCTGATTTCTCTCCCCGTATTGACTTCAGTATGTCTCTGTGAATGTCATACTTTCCAAGCCCTCTTTTCCTCATTATTTTCTCTAGACATTTCAGCTGTCTCTTTCTTATGTTAAATGAGTGTTCTTTTTTGTTAAGTTTTCGCTAAAATTTCATTGTTGTTCACATGTTCGGTCCATGGTATTCGCAACATCCTTCTCTAGAACCACATTTCTGTTGCCTCTTCTTCATCTGTGAGGAGATTGTCCAGCATTTACTGCTACATAGGAGAACCGACATTACCTAACAATTCAATACTGTTCTTTTTCTCGTTGGTTCTAACGAAATTTTCATGTATCTTAAAAGAAGCGACATTTTTCTGTGTTGATTGAATCCTTGTCGTTATCTGATTGGTCAACCTATATTTTCATTGACAAAGCTGGTCGATATATGTTTATTATTAATAGTAGTAGTAATGGTAGTAGTACTAGTAGTAGGATTAAAAGTAGTCATAATCAAGTGAACAGAATTAAAAGTATAAAAAAATAACAGGTTAGTATCGTTAGGTGCATTTTCATTGACAAAGCTGGTCGATATCTGTTTATTTGTATTATCATTGCTATTATTATTATTATTATTATTAGTAGTAGTAGTAGTAGTAGTAGTAGTCGTAGGAGCATTAAAAGTAATGATAATCAAGTGAACAGAATTAGATGTAGAGAGAAAAATAACAGGTAATAGTTATAGGTTAGTATCGTTAACTGTTTGGTCGAACTGTATTTTCATTGGCAAAGCTGGTCGATATATGTTTATTATTATTATCATTATTATTATTATTATTATTATTATTACTAATATTATTATTATCAGTATTACTTGTAGTAGTAGTAGTAGTAGTAGTAGTAGTAGTATTGGTACTGTTAAAAGTATTTATTATCAAGTGAACAGAATTAGACGTAGATAATATGGGTTTGTATCGCGTTTTTATTTGTTTCTTATCTATGTATATACTGTAATTTTTGAGTAGTCATGAAGCCGAAACGGTGACCAAAGTGTGAATTGTTTGAACTTTTTCTTTACTCTTCATTACCTTCTGTTTTATCTCCAAGAAACTTTAGGACAAAATCCGGTGCGTATTTTATAAAGGACACCATTGTTTTTTCTTCCATTATTCATCTGTCTCTTATTAAAAAAAAGAAAAAGAAAAAAAACTCTCTGGCGTAAATTAACCACAGTTGTGCCGCTGTCACAGTTTGAACTGTACATATTACACTTAAAGAATCAAATATAAAAAGGAAGTGCCGAGAAAGGTAGAGAATTTCGGGCTTCTACTGAATACTGAACCATCTCATTATAGATGGAGAAGAGAATTGAGGCAACAGAAACGTTGTACTACAGATGGATGTTATGAATTCCATGGCCTGAACACGTGAGAAACGACGAGGTTTCACAGTAAATGGAAACAGAAAGGACATTTATACAAGAAGTGACTGTAGTAATTTCTATGGAACAGGACATATTGAAGGTAAAATGGACAGAGGAAAGTAGAACGTAACCAAATTAACAAGCTTGTTCAAACGGTTGACAGAACTGGAATTAGAAAAATATAACAAAAAAGACAGCATTTACTAAGGATTACAAAAAAGGACTGGAAGTTGTGGAGAGGCATAATCGCCCTCGTTCTGTAAACACGCAGCATAAAGAAGAATTTAATTTTGATCCTATGCCAAGATTACTCTCATAGATGGCTAGGTAACCAGCTTCCGTACTTAAGCAAGCTCTTGTCGCTAATGTTTTCATAGTATTAATATTTTAGTACTTATTTTTTCTGACAAGTTAGAAGTAATAATAAAATTAACAAAATACGTTGTGAGATTATTTTTTTGCAGTTTCGTATCAGTTCTGAAGACAAGAATGAAAATGAAGTTTCTCGATGTTCTCTTTGTATTTTTTACTACCATCAAATTGACATTTTTTTTCTTTCACTTCATCTTACTTCGTCTTATTTTCTTTTATGACGTAGTCTTGTTCTTTACAGGTTATTTAAGTTGGAAGGTAACAGTAATGCCAGATCTGTTCTAATCATATTCAGCAGTTGTTCTTTTTCGTTTTATTATTGGTGCTACAGTAACAAAAACATTCTGTTAAAAACAACGAGGTCTCATCTTAAATGTCCGCCCAGGGCAATGTGATCACACTTTAAATTTATATATATATATATATATATATATATATATATATATATATATATGTGTGTGTGTGTGTGTGTGTATGTATGTATGTATATATATATATATATATATATATATATGTATATGTGTGTATATATGTATATATATATATATATGTATGTATATATATATATGTATGTATATATATATATATATATATATATATATATATATATATATATATATATATATATATATATATATATATATATATAAAGAGTTTGTGTTTAGCTAAAGAAAGAATTAAATTCCAAATACAACAGGCATTTTTTTATTCTCGTAAAATCTCAAATTTTTAGTACGCAACAAAATGGCTGCATTCTACGAGCAAAAACAGGAGATACGTCAGATATTCGCATTATCATCTAAAAGAAAAGAAGAGATTTGTATTCTGTGTCGGTTTTTATTTTTGTTTTCATAGCCAGCTATGTTTGAAATAGCAATTTAAACAAGAGACCATTTTGCATTGATGATAACAGAGATTATACATTGTTCGGATTTTACTTTTGAAACAATAGTCATTTTATTCTAGCAATAAAAATTTCGCCTCTGAACACAAGTGTCAACAACCAATGCATCTTGCTAGTATTCGACTAAGTAATATGACATAACGCAAAATTTCAGAACAATGACTTTTGCAGCCTTCTTGAATCCATCATTTGAAGCCTTTTTTATTAGATAACTTAGCCGTGAAAGACTTAAATACTCTCCGTTGATATTAATGCGTAAAAGAAATAATCTATTAATATCTTAAGATATTTTCGTATTAAAATAATACCTGTATTTTTGCAAACGTCATGCTTATTCTACGTTTTGAATTTTCAAATGAGTCATAGTTCTTAATTTAATGACGAAATGTTTGTTCCCAGTTACCATTCCTTATGAAAATTCTACCATTACTTCCGTAATTTTTTTGAGCATAGCAATTCTGATAGACACTTGCAATAAACTCAATCGGTCAATATTTAAAGGAATAAGAATTCACGAATTAAAAAAAATTCAGAATATTTGCCATTTCACTGAGATGTTGAGGTTAAATACGAAAGTGTATCACTTCCTCTATCTTCTTTTTTTTTTTTTTTTTTCTTTTTCTTTTCTTTCTTTTTTCTTTCTTTTATCTTTTTTTCTTTTATCTTTCTTTTCTTTTTCTTTCTTTCTTTTATCTTTATTTTGCTTTCTTTTTTTTTCTTTTTTTTTTTCTTTTCTTTTCTTTTTCTTTTCTTTCCTTCTTTTCTTTTTCTTTTCTTTCTTTCATTTATTCTTTCTTTCTTTCTCTTTCTTTCTTTCTTTCTTTCTTTTTCTTTCTTTTTTTCTCACTTTCTTTCTTTCTTCTTTCTTTCTTCCTTTGTTCTTTCTTTCTTTTTTCTTTCTTATTATTATTTTATATGCTTCCTCTAACTGACAAAATTCAGGTAGCGTCACTCTTTTTTCTCAAACATAATGAAATGGTCCATTATTTATCTAAGGAAGTGTCTGTCTATCTATTTTCAGAAATTTATCCTGTTTTCCTCTGCCCCTCTTGCCTTCAAAAAGTGATGTTATTCCGAAATTCCACAAGCCCTCTTTTCTCCTTGTGACGATTTCCTAACCCGAAAGTATAGCGAATGCATTGAGGATCAAACTCACTATTCAATCATAATTGATCTAGCGAGACAAGCTTGCTAACCGCTACAAACTTCGAAGTGTCGCTTCCAGGTGTCTCAAAAATTTCCACTCATTCTAAGTATAAGCGTCCTTTTGGTTTCCATTTCCTTAAAAGATCCTTTTAATCACATGTTATATATCAATGGCATTGTCAGCATTCTTCTATAGAGCAGTTGACTCGAGTCTCTTCTTCATTTAGGAGGAGATTGCCCAGCATTTACTGCCATAAAAGGAGGACTGATATTACATAACAGTTCAATACTGTTCTTTTTCTGTTGTTGTTTCTAACGAAATTTTCATCTATCTTAAAAGACGCGACATTTTTCTTTGTTGATTGAATCCCTGCCGTTATCTGATTGGCTGAACTACATTTTCATTGACAAAGCTGGTCGATATATGTTTAATATTATTATTATCATTATTATTAGTAGTAGTAGTTGTAGTAGTTGTACGAGTAGTAGCAGCAGTAGTAATAGTAACATTAAAATTAGTCATAATCAAGTGAACAGAATTAGATGTAGATAGAAAAATAAATAGGTTAGTATCGTTAACTGATTGGCCGAACTGTATTTTCTTTGACAAAGCTGGTCGATATATGTTTATTAGTAGTAGTAGTAGAAGTAGTAGTAGCAGTAGTAGTGTTTGTAGGAGTAGTAGTTGACTCAAATCCCTTCTTCGTCTTAATGCTAAATTTAACGCCTCTTAAACGAAAGTGATGTCTTTTAATCGACTAAGAGAACAATGTTTCGCTTCCATCATTATGGCTGATGGTAAACTGTACAAGAGTGATACGTTGCGCCTTCTCCGACTAACATGTTCCACTAACAAGAAGTGGAAAGATTATATTGAACCAGTTGCTAGGCATATACTAGAAATGTTGGTTCACTGTGTCGTGCTACACCATTTGCTTCGCCAGAATACATCTTACATATTTCAAAGTCTACCATTCGCCCTTGCTGTCAATATTACAGTCACATCTGGTCCTGTGCTCTTTTTAAATATTTAGAGATTCTTGATAACATCCAAAGATGTTATTAATCTTGACCTGGCATCTCGGCTTCAGTCAATTTTCAACCAACGTAATATAGCTTCCCTAAATACATTCATGATAATTGTTCTGACGTTCTATGACACAGAAACATTGTACATAGGGGATTTAGTTAACACTTCATATAGACTTTGAGACATTATGGTGGCTGTAGTAAAAACGGTAAGTAAGAATGCGTTGTTTTGTTGGTAGGAATACTGTGCTATGCCTGGATCAGTAACCGTAGCGAACTAAGTTTAAGATAATATACATTGAAGACGAGCCTTCTCCTAACCGACTTTTAAGCCTTGTGCCACAATTTTGTTTTCTCACAATAAATATTTCTTTCATCTTTGGTAGCTAGACTCGATGAATTTAAACGCAGTACTAGATTAGCGTCAAGGTTTCACCATTTTGCTGTTGAAATGAGTTAAACGCAAACAAGTTTTATGCTACCATTTTTCGTCGCACTTCTTGTGAATTTTTTTTCTGGCTTCGAGCCTCAAGTTTGATTTTAAAATTTTAAATGTAATGCCATTCGTTATGTTCTGCTGTTTAATTTGTGTTCTTTTATTGCCCCCTCTTCTTAAAAAGTATTTTCTCACCATATTCTATAGCACTCAGTAACCTCTATAGTCTTTGTGGATTTTTTGCCTTGCTTGGGGTGAAATGATTTAAGAAATCTGTGTAGAAATTGTCTTACATTTACTGAAAAAGAGGTTCGATGTTTAATATCAGTTAAGCACCATTTTCTTTGTTTCTATCGAAGTCTTCCTATTTTTTTCATTTTAATTGCAAATATAGAAAAAAGCTCTTTTTTCTTTTCATTAGAAAACTTACATTACTCATATTCAAAATATTACTTGCTTTAATCATGTTAAGTAAATCTCAATAATTTGACCTCGTATAAGATTTTGATTTGTCAAAGTAAATAAAAATACAAGCAAAATGTAATTTTTTTTTTTTTTGTTTTTCTGGTATCACTTTATTTTCTGGCATGATTAACTCAATGCAGAAACCATTTTGCTTGGGTAAACTGGAAAATGTAATTAACATTAAGCAGGATTCTGAGAAATATATATATATATATATATATATATATATATATATATATATATATATATATATATATATATATATATATTACGTTGTTCAGTTTGAAAATATTTTTCTTACAGTTTCTATCAGATTCAATTAAAAGTAACGCAATTATTTTAATAAAAACATTGGCAATTAAAATATATAACGAAAAACTTTTTTTTCCTGTCAAGGGATCGATAAAGCATTGAAATGTTACGTGAAGGTTGTTCAGGTACATTTTTAGTTGTTGTTATCATTGTCTTTAACCACTGAACTTATCGTGCACTCTTATAATAAAAGTATTAAAACTAGTCGTTTAACCTTTCATCGAGAATGACATCGTTCTGGTAAGATGATAAACTACTTCCCCGTCCTGGGTAAGACGATAAACTACATTCGCGTCCTGGGTATGACGTCAAATTACATCTGCGTTCTGGGTAAGACGATAAACTACATCCAGCAGCAATGCCTCTGATCAGGAGGTTTTGAAGCGCGTGGAACCACCTCTTAATTGCTGGTGCTCCCAGGTCCACCTAGATCCAGGGTGGTAGCATCTTTTAAGGTCCCAGCTATGGAAAAATAGTTAACTATTACCAGCAATACATTTTTGAAAAAAAATTATTACCAGCAATACAATTTTGAAGGAAAAATATTACCAAAAACAGATTTTTGACAAAACAAAATATTACCAGCAATAAAAAATGTTGTCGGTATTAAATAACCCATTGAGGTGTTGATATGCCGTAAAACAAAATAAACTAAACCAAACGAAGAAGACATATTAAACATTATATAAAAATGCAATGTTTACGATTGTGATTGATTGTTCATCGGATATTTCCATAGGGTAGTTTAGATGTGACACAAGGCCGAATTTATGGGGCACCAGATCTGTATAGAACTCATTATTCAATCATAATTCATCTAAGAAGACAAGATTGTTAACCATTACACCACATCGAAGTGCCGAATAATGAATTTCTGAGCGTATCTTAGATGTGGCACAAGGCCGAAAATATGTGTCACCTAGTTAGGATCTAGCACGACAAATTCGCTTACCCTTATAACTGCATTTGCTGGTTCCCAGACTTCATGAGTTCAAGCGGCCAACAAGGCTGGCATCCCGCTCTCACCCCTTCACTGTCGAAACTTTTAAATGTAGCCGTCTCTTCTACTCCAATAGCTTCATGTCTCGCGCCTCTCGCCTGTGGAACTCCCTTCGCTATTCCAGTTTCTCTGAGAGCTATAATCTCCAGCTATTCAAATGTAATGTCAATCGACATCTCCAGTTGCCTTGATCTATCCACTACCCTTCTCCTCATCCTTTCTTCTATCACTCCTATCTGATCTTGCTCCAAATTTTCTGTAACCCCTTGCGTCCTAGTGGCTTCTCGCCTTGCTTGGGGTGTAACGCTTAATAAAAAAAAAGAACACGATTATGCACGATAATAATATTTAAGCGTAGCCTAGATATGGGACAAGGCTAAGGCGTTCGGCATCAAGTGAGGATCGAACTCACTATCTAGTTGTAAGCGATACAAGCTTATAAGGACAAGCTAATTATAATTCGGATGAGCTTCTTCATAATTACAGAATTCAGATCTAGTACCAGTCGACATGTTTTTTTTTTTGTTGTTTTTTTGTTTTGTTTGTTTGTTTTTTTGTTTTTTTTGTTCCGGTGTAGTTAATGATTTTTGTTGCTATTGATGATTTGGAATCCGGATGTCGTCAATGGCTGCGGAAGCAACAATTGCTGATATAAAGATGAGACTGATATGCGTGATGATGAATAAAAATAAAGTTACAAAAACAAACAAACAACGGTCTTATCTTCGTGCTAGCAAGACTGCTGCTTCAAATAAAAACTTGACATTTGTTTTCCTCGATAACAAACATCTCCTAGTAAATGCCAAAAAGAAATTTTATTAAAATAAACTGATCTCGAAACAAAAACAACAAAAACATGAAGAGAATCTACCAGAAGAGAAGATTATTTTTAAAGTATGTGTCCCCAAAATGTCGCTGAAATGGAAACAATAACACGGTTGAACACGTATGACATTTTGTGAGCGTCGTTCGCGTGCATTTTCAATGGCCGAGAGTTTTATAAGTCTTCGATGGTGCAGGAGACAAGAGCGAAGGTCAAAACTCTCTAGATCAGTACAAAACTCTGATAACGATTTTAAAAAAACCCATCATTGAAGTCAACATGATTTCAAACCCCTTTGTCTTTTCTTTTTCGACTTAATTTTCTATCATTCAAATATGAATGCTTATATTCGGGTCTCTGGATTTGACGTCTGTGTTCGCGCGATCCGATGGCTTTCAATTTATAGAAAATTATCCGTACATGTGCCTTCTTGCATATCGTTTGTTAGCAACTACAACATATATATATATATATATATATATATATATATATATATATAATGGATTCTCCTGTCGGTTTCGACGTATGAGGATCTGACAGCTTATTGATTCAGTTATGAAAGTTTGTGCAGAAAGTTTATACATACATACATTCATATATATATATATATATATATATATATATATATATATATATATATATATGTATATATATATATATATATGTATATGTATATATATATATGTATATATATGTGTGTATATATATATATATATA